CCACAACTCTCTGTGCTCGGCCAGCCAGCCACTTTTTGACCCAGCAAAGCGACTTATGATCCGTAACAAACAACGGGTGCTCTCTCTTCCCTGGTTTCTGTTTACAAACACTTTTCTGGATAGCTTTTGAGCATTTCTGTTCAGACCTGTGTCTGGCTTCACAATGTTTTTTTCTTTTCCCCTCATTTTCTTGGCAATACAGAACTGCCTTTAACACATGAGAAACTGCTATGAACACTGTGGACAGGACTGCCTACTGCTTGCTGAGATATTTAAAGCCTGCCGAATTGTTATTCTTAAGAACATGGCTTACTCGTATTAAGGAAATACAAAAGCTTGCGGTGCCAAGTCATCTCGCATTTACTCAGAAGTCTCTCCATCTTTATCTAACACACCCCAATCACAAACATCAAACCAAAAGCTATCCCTTAGCCCCGCACTTTGCAGCACCAAGTGTGGCAAAACACTGGCTAGCTGTTTCCATAGCTGCTCTTGTGCAAAGCAAAGAAGGTCTAAACTGTTGGAGGTGTTTGCAGGGACGCATCAGTGCCAGGAGAGGTTAAGTAGAGCTGAAGCTGGGCTCGCATCGTTTGGATACATTTCGACTTCAGCATCAAGACTTCATCCAGCTTGGTCATGAAATTCTGAAAATCCTGGTGAGAAAGGCAAAAGGAAAGTTTAGGGCACAACAGTAGCAGCAGGTTGGAGAAAATGAGCATATTTTATGCATTGCAGCAGTACCTAAAAGCATGCTTCCATTCTGCAGTGCAGTAGATTAAATCAGTGGTTCCTTATTAAAGTCCTGACCCTCACAGACAAAGGCCAATGCCTCTGAATACTGAGGATAATTTACTCTGATAGTTTTATCTGTTGGTAAAATTATAGCTAATGCAATGGTTTAAAAATAAAACTGTTATCACCCTTGTACTCCAGTTAGCTTTTCAAAGGTTTGTTATATGGAGTGGTCATCTGACATGCAGTTTTACAGTGTACTAAGCTGTTCCTGACACCTCTCGTGTTGGATCTAGCAATCATGACAGTAAAGGGTGAGTTGGGCCATTCATTGACCAGACATAACAGCCCATTCTTTGGAGATGGAAGGAATTACTTCATGTCAGGTCACAGGGCCAGTCCATCTCCTCCATGGCTACAGGTCTGCTAGATCTGAGATAAGAGGTAGCAGCAGCGAGTAGAGCCTCAGCCAAGGGAAACTCTGCCTTCTATAGCAACCTGCCACATGGATAAAGAGTGATGTGAAACTGATTAAAACTGAAATGAAGGCAGTTATTTTTTAAGTAGGGCTTGTTTTAATAAGGCAGCAGTCAGACTTGCTCTGCTCTCCAGGTGAGAGCAGTTTGGTGTCTCTGTTCACAGGTCAGCGTCTAAGCAGCTGGGAGGTTGTCACCATCCTCAGGGCTGGGGACTTTAAATGCCAACACATGAAAATCATGCTTGGATCAGTATGTGGCCGGTCTGGGCAGGAGTTTCTCCTGCAGCCAAAATTTCAAGGCTGAAGAAGTTGCAACCATCTGAAAGTGGAAGGGGATAGGGGAAGTCCAACCTGAGTTCATCTCCCAAAGAAAGGTTATGCTGTGAAATAACACTACAGGATCTGTTATTCACACTCTGCTGGGAGGCCTGGCAGCCTTGTCATAATTCTGCTACCCAGAAAATGATTGCTTGCTGCAAGGGGCAAATAAATGGGACAAGGGAAGGGCTGGTGTCCAATGACAAAGAACAATCTCAAAGGATGTAAAAAAAAAGAAAAAAAGAAAGATTGCTTTATATCAGTGCTTTCTCTGCCCCAAAGCTAATACAATTTATGGCTCTTCTGCTGCTTTGTGAACTTCCATGTTATCTGGTAACACATCACATTTAGCTGGAAATCACAGGAAATAAGCCACATGGCAGCTCCATTCTGAAATCCCCGAGGGAAGAGTCCCAGTGCTGTACTTCAGATCTAAACTGTGATGGGAATTGAAATTGTTTGATAATGTAATGCAGTCAGGGAGCTTGGCTTTACTGGTAAGACGAGGGAACCGGGAATGCAGGAAGTTCTCACTGGGAAATGTTAATAGTCTGGATGACATATGGGACTCCTCACACAGCTGTAACGAGCAGCTACCTGGATGCAGGAGAAGCAGAGAACTGGTGTTACCTGGCTAGCAGTGGGGCCATGCAGGTGTAGGTCTAACCTACACTACTGTCACCTGTGATGAGGATAAGCCAAGAAACACTTGAGTGACAAAGTCAAGAGCCTGTGAGGAAGCAAGTGACAGTGGTGAGCTCTGGAGTGAGTGGGGCCAGGGGCTGGCACATCTGCAGTGTGGTACGCATGGCACTCCCAGAAAGAAGAGGCAACATGGCACTACACCACCAACTGTGACATCCCAGTGTCATGCTTTAGGGATGTGCTGTTTGCTGCGGTGTGGACTTACTTGCTCAAGCCCGTGAGGAGAAAAAAGTCACATGGAAAGATGCCCCATTTAGTACCGTCTGGTGCCCATGACACAAGGTAAGAGAAAGCTGTTCTATGAGGGACAAGAGGTTCAGAGTTCGCCCGTCAGCCTCCTTTTCCCCCAGAGACCTGGCAGTCTGAAAGGTACTGAAAATGAGCGGCCTCTCCTAGGACTCAGGAAGGCATCAGAGAGTGAGAGGAAGGACTGATGAGGAATGTCACATCACTAATGCAAGTTGATAATCCCTAAAATTAATTTAAGCAGGTTCAATAGGGACTGAAATAATCTGAACCACTGTCCTGGTTTGAGCTAAACAGAACTAATTTTCTATTTAGTGATTTTACTTTTCAGCTCAGTCTCTTCTAAGTGGCTGAACTTGCTGAAACTTAAAGGCATTGTTTTTCCAGTATGCACTGCTAGAAGATATGCTCAAGGTCAGTTTTCTCATCATGGGTGCTGTGTCTGTGCCTACAGGGGGGGAAGCGGACCCAAAACTGACCGAGGTATTCCATCCCACATACGTCATACTCGGTATAAAGCCAAGGGATCATGAGGGTCTTGCCCCTTCCATCTCGGACCCTTCCATCCATCTCGATCCTGCAACGGCTGAAGTCCAAGCAGAACCCTGCTGGTTCATCTGCCTCTGATCCTGGTTTGTGTTCCTGCACCCTGCTCCCACTGCTGCTAAGTTCAATCTGGGACTTTTTCAGTGCCCAGCTCTGCAGAGCCTCTGGTGATGTCATGGTCATTGAGGGAGGGTGGGGGGAGGATTTTATATTGGTTTTATATATATATGTACATATCTGTATATATTTCATTATTTTCCTATTTACATTATTATCCTGTAGTATTAGTATTATTGTTTTATTAAACCTGTTAAGTTTTATTTTCCAACCTGTAAAGTCTCTCTCCCTTATTCTCTTTTCCCTTCTGTGGAGGGGAGAGGGGTTAATAGAGAGCACTGTCCAGGATTTAGTGACCAGCCCAGCCCTAAACCACAACAACCACTTACCATTGCTGACATCTGATTTATCAAGCACTCTTCCTTGAGGCACAGGGATGCCATTTCATCCAGCTGCTGCTGATGGACCCGAATTACAGTCTGTCTGATTGACATAAAATATATAATTGATTACACAGCCTGCTGCATTACCTAAAATCACTGTTGGCTCAATAAATCTTTAAGGAGAAGGAATACCACAGAGAAAGCCTTGTTGTCCTGTGGTTCCTGGCATTCAGAAAGTGCATATCAGTGCTCCTTGAAATACAGTAGACTGCACTGGTTTGGGGTTAAAGGTGACCTTGGTGACTGAGAATTGCTCAGAGAGGAGAGACCACAGCCTGTCATTGGTATAGGCAGTACAGGGGCACATACTTTTTACCACAGTGAAATCTAGGAGCAAAAAATTGTGTAATTAATCGGTGAAATGGCTTACAACCATGAGGCTGTCAGCTATTTTGATGAAAACCAGGCAGAGGAGGAGGGCAGTGCTGCTGTTCCTTCCTCTGAGCCATTTTCTCTGACCAGCAATGTATTTTCAGCCATGTGAATGCAGTGCAGTCCTTGGGAGCTGACAGAGGCAGCTCATAGTACTTCAAAGCTTTACATCTACATCTTCAGGGACTGCCCAGCTGCTCTAGCTGGTTTCTTTCCATAGGGATGGAGCAGCTACCACCTGATTCTTTATGGGAGGCTTTGATATATTTAAGGTACTTTACAGCTTATAGGAAGCCAGTTAGTTACTGAGAATTGCAGTTCGTATTGTACTATTAATTCCTCTAGCATTATCCTAGGAAGCTCTAATAAAATAATTGGCTTCCTGTAAGATTTTAAAATATCACTAAATAACAGACAGACAATCATATATTTTAAGAGAAAGACTATGAATTAGCATTAATCTTACTAAATAATTATGCCACAGATTGATTTTCCATCGGTTTTTAAAGTACATATGAATAAGATATACAAATAAAGGCAAATGTTATAATGTTTCTAGAATTTCTAAGCTTAATGACAAACTTCAGTGAAGATCAAGACTTACTGTGCCTCTTCTAAGGCTTCCCTCTGCCATTTTCCCATCTCTGAAGTAGCACTTGGAGAACTGCTGCTGGATGTGCCTGAGGGGCTCTTTGCATTTCCCAGTTGCTTATTATCTTTCGTGGCAGATCCTGAATCCGCAGCAAAAGTCTCTTGTGTAACAATACTCTGCATTAACTTGTTTTTTAGAAATTCTGTTTCCTCACTGCTGAATGATGACGTGGCTGAGTCGTCAGAATGACGGAAGTCCTCATTCCTGAGTCCTGACTTGGGCTGCAACAGCAGGCTGCTTTCTTGAGGGGAGGACTGGACTGTGTAATCCTTATTTCCCACACTGAGGAAGCACAGTGCATTTGAAAAATCGCTCTTTTCAGGTATATCAGCATTTATTTCATGAGCCATAGGCCCAATGCTGGGTCCTTGATTTGAGTTAGATTTTCCCGAGTCACCAGTATTATCTTTAACATCAGCACCACACTGCCTGCCACCTGAGTGTTCTTCACACGTTGAGCTACCGAGAAGCAAACCATCCTCTCTCTCTCTCCTGGAGCCTGTGGATTCAGCTGCGGATGTTCCTGTCACCTCACATCCAACAAATGAACTGTGAACAGCTCCTTGCTTTGATGAACCCGAGCCCAGAAGGCAGCAGCATGGCTTCACATCACAGCAGGCGGGTGAAGGCCATCTGTCCCCTGTTTGCGGGGAACGCAGCAGGGCGCAGTGTCTTCCCCCACGATGCATTTGCTCCCCCAGTTCCAGCATGCTGTCTGTCAGAGCTCTGCTTCTCGTACACTGCCAGCCCTCTTCATCAAACCTGTTCTGGAAGCTGTGTATGTTCCTGTCCGACACCTTCACATGGGGGGATTTCTCTTGGCTAGAAGACACTTTCTCTGTATCGGTTGTTTCCTCATAGTCAAGACGGGATACCATGAGAGGGGCCATGATCTCAGAAGTAAGTTCTGAGGAACAACTAGAAGATACACAATGGTTAACTCCATTTTTTCGAGCTTTCCATTTTATATCTCCTGAAAGGGCAGCCTGTCTATCCAAAGGGGATTGTTCCTTCTCTTCGTGCTGGAGGTCACTCTCTTTGCACTCTGGAATTCCTGATTTCAGTGCAGGAGAAACACATGAGTTTGAAGCACCATTTTCTGGAGTTAAGGCAGCTTCACTGGAGTAAATGAGACAACTGTGGTTGGATTTGTTCTGTTTGTGATCATCTAGAAAATCTTTGCCATTTTTCCAGTCACAAGCAGGATCTTCCTGCAGACAATAAGGTTTTTCTGCAGCATTGCTTGGAGAGGACTCAATAGTAAAGGCATAACTCCAGTCTGATGGAGTACTGCTGCAGCCTGCATCTTTCATGGGTTCCTCTGATTTTGAGCTGCCCTCAGTACAACCCCAGCTGTCATCTAATTCATGTTCTTGCACAGGTATTGCATATTTAAAAAATAAATCCTGTCGCTTTTCGCCTTTTTGCTCTTCTTCAGTTCCTTGTTCTCTCTGATGAAGGAAAAATGAATGTTGACTGCATTTGTTGGTGTTTTTCATGCTCTTTTGACCACTGACAGGTGAGAACGAATCATCACTGAAATCACTGTCATCCAGATCTTCCAGCTGCATCCCCTCTTTGCTCTGTATTTCTGTGGGAGTAAGGCTCTGCTCCTGCTTCACTTCAATCTCCTGGGGCTTGTATTGTGTTAAAAACCTCTCAGGAGGTTGATAGTTCAATATTTGCTGTAGAATAGGTGGCTGCTGAAACTGCTGGTGATAAAGACGTAAATGCTCTTCCCTTTCCTTCTGAAATGGAGACAGATTTGTCCAGGTTTCAACACATTGTTTAGCAAAGGTGTTTCCCCATTCCTGTCTGCTGTCAGAAGGCAGATTTCCAACTCCAAAGGCAAAATAATCTCTAGAAACAAGCTGTTTCTGTACAGGTTGCACTGTCTGGACCTTCAGGCACTGCACAGGTGGTCTGTCTTGCACATGCTTGTCTTTCTGGTCACTCTCTTTTGTTTCTGCTGTGGCAGCATTTTTGGTGATGAAATCCTTTGCAGTGGAGTTCTTTTCAGAGTAGGGGGATAGATCATCAGTTTTCTTCTCTGGGGGATGTGCGAACCGTAGGACGCCCTTAACAGGGCTAGGATGGTGGAACCACGGTGAGCTGGGATTTCCTTTGTAGGCATGTCCTTTGTTGATTGCCCTGGGAGTAGAGGTAAAAGGGACACTTGGTGGCTGGAGTGCTGCAGGGCACGTCTTTGTTTTTGTAGCATTTGAGGGATGCTGGAGCCCTAGCTTCACTTTCTTTGGAGAGCTCTTTTCACCAGGTGGCAAAGAGGGAGAGTTTTGGACATGTTTTGGAGATACGTGTCCAGCTGTCCGACGCCGGTTCGTTACAGGAGTAGAATGTTTAATCCCTTTCTTCAGCTCTTTGACCCTGTAAATGAGACTGGCTTTAGACGATGTCATGCTTTCAGATAAAGAACAGTGTCTTCATATCAAACAAATATTTTCATGTATTAAGGCTAAACACCAAATTCAGTGTCATGATTTCTAACTGTCAGTGACCTGTGCAGGCATCAAAAACCTTCTGGCAAAATGCCTAAACTTCTGGAAAGTTCTATATCAGCATTTTGGAGTGCTTCTTAAGCAGTACATAACAGATACAAAGAGTGAAGATGGCCTCTGTTTCACTGCAAGGGGGTTGCATTTCCGCACTTTATGATGCAGCATGGCCCAGTGCCAGCTCAAGACAAGCTAGCACTCTCCACAGCACATCATAGAGTCCCACAAGACACAAAATAGGGCTTTTGGAGTAGTTGCTGTGGGACTAATCTCCCATATGAGGAAAGGCTGAGAGAGCTGGGTCTGTTTAGCCTGGAGAAGAAGAAACTGAGAGGGGACCTCATTAATGCTTATAAATATCTAAAGGGTGGGTGCCAGGATAATGGAACCAGACTCCTCTCAGTTGTGCCCAGTAACAAGACAAGGGGCAGTGGTCACAAACTGGAACACAGGAGGTTCAACCTAACATAAGGAAAAACTTCTTTACTGTGAAGGTGACAGAGCACTGAACAGGCTGCCCAGAGAGGCTGTGGAGTCTCCTCCTCTGGAGACACTCAGAACTCACCTGCATGTGTTCCTGTGTGATCTTCTCTGGGTGATCCTGCTCTGGCAGGGAGTTGGACTGGATGATCTTTCAAAGTCCCTTCCAACCCCACCATGCTGTGATTCTGTATTTAGCTCTGGTGATGTGCAACTATGAAGAGTTGCTTACCTGGTATCACCCTGTCCCCTCAACTGTTTCTTTCAGTCCTCTTCCCCTTAAGCACCTATTGTCTCCCTAACCCTGCCATTGCACAGGCTGTAATTTACCTCCTGTGTAGAAGGAAGGGTGAAGGACTTGCACACATTTTAGGCAAAAATACAGTACAAAACTAAAACAAAACTTCTGATTACTGAGGTTAGTAATCCTACAGTTACAGGGAGCACAGTGGTATTTTTATCACTAAAAGCTGTCATCAGAAAGGATTTACCAGACACAAAGAATTTTAAGATCAAATATAAGAGTTTGAAGAGGTAAAGATTTTACTTGCGTTGTGAAAATTGCATTTCTTGCCTATATCATTTCCAGTGCAACCAAAATAAAATGTAACCACAAATATAATACTTTACTTTTTCCTTTGTGTTTTTCACTTTGGCAAGATGGAGTTTCGTCACCTACCTGTCAGCATATCGTAAAGTGTTCAGGGTATGCTCTGTAGCTATGTGGCTGGGCGATACATTCGCTATCATACAAGTCTTGGAATTGCCAATGAAAGAATCCTTTAGCACCTAGGGTAAAGCAGGAAAAAATTAAGTTTCTTACCAGTTCACATACCTTGCATTTTCTGTAAATTAGCAATGTGTACAGAGGCAGTTTAACATCAGTCTTTTAATTTTTTTAAAAATGTAGTGTTCTTGTCTCAATTTGTCTTGCAATTCTTTGTTTACAGTTTAAAATGAATCCAAGTGTCAATCAGGGCTCTAAACAAGCCTTTGCACCAGGTGCCACAAGGGTGCCCATATGTTTTGAAGAATAAAGCGTATGTTACAACTGGAGCAAAGAAATGTTGATTAAAACTCCCAGGACTGTTACTGCATAGAAGATGCAAGATTGGTTGCAAAGTGGGTGGAGGTGCGTGGTAACTCTGAATGAGCCTGGAAGGTAGTGTTTGGGAATTTTGCTTGGTTTTAGCTTTTGTGTTATTTGGTTTTTACCATGCCAGTTCCCAGGACTGACTTAGGGAACTGGCAGTTGGCCTTAATTCTGTAATTATCTTTAAAATTAATGTTTGCAAAATTTCTCCATTTCTCTTTTCTTCAATAGTCTAATAGCAGTTACTAAATTAGGCTCTTTTAAAAATCATTAATTAGTTTTCATTTGTTCTCATTAGGGAAACCTCTACTGTTGCCTTTCTGCTCGTTTTACCTGAGTTAACTTGCTTTGCCGGAAAGGAGTATGCACATGTTCCTGATCCAATGCCCGAATGCATTCCTTTAGCTATCAAACAAAACAAAAAAAAAAACAGAAGGGAAAAAACAGATCAATCACACACTGACAAGGAAATTAATTGCATGAAATTTAACCTACGAATGTACTGCTTCCCTGGTGCACCTTTGACTCCTACTACGTGATGTCCCTTGCAAGCAGAGCTTGCTGCTGCCATAGCCACAAACAGACAGCTTCTGCTGGTGAGGGCAGCTGGGTTGAAGCCCACACTCAGAAGGTAGTATAGATGCAGCCTATCTAAATGAACATGTCACTGTGACATTGGACGGGATAATAAGAATGATACACAAAACACCAAGAATGAAAAAAACACTACGCAGGGACTGGGAATGCAGCTATAGAACTCTCATTAAAACTAACAGAACATAAGCAGCTGGCTGCACCCGTGCCTTTCACAGAACTCATTAGATCTTGTTAATAACCATCAACAGAGGTAGCCTGTAGTCTTGAAGGAACATCCCTTGATTTATTACCAGCTGCGGAAAAAGATGTCATGTTCAAACTCAAAGATGTGCATTTTTTTTTGCCATGTTTCCACTGGAATAAGCACAATTGCATCCCATTCTGTATCAAGCCTGAATGCTCTCTAAAACTGGCAGAAATGGACTGTAATTGAGACAAATAAGTTAGAGCAAATATTGAAGGACAAATAAGCAGACTTCAGTATTGTCATGGTGACACTAGCATGAAGGAGCATTTCTATGTTTAAAGCTTTACATTCTACATACACCCACTTAAAATGACACTTATTTCCCACTTTTACTGCATTTTATTAAAACAAGAAAACAAACTATTTGAATTTTTAAATTCTGCTTCCCGTAATTGCAGTACCAGAATATCTTCTACTTGAAATCAACGTGAATATTCAAACCAGAAGAAAACGTCAAACTTCACATGTTTTAAGGCCTGAAGAGAGTGTAATGATCATTGAAGGCAGAGCTAGGTTTCTGTCCTGGTTTTGCTAGGACTGAATTGTAGAATTCCCTTTTAATGTTTCAGTGAGCTGGATATCTGAGAAAAGCTGAAGTGCTTTCTGCTAAGGTTATTATTTTCATTTTCACTGGCAGATACTGTGGTTATAGTTTTTTTTCCTCTTCTCTGCACAAGTGAAAGTGGAGGGGAAGCAAAAGCCTGAGACTCTCCGAGATAAGTGAGCCAGGACAGATGATACAGGTATGATCCAAGCTGACCAATAAAGATGTATTCTGTCCCATAAGCATCACACTCACTATAAATTGGGGAGCTTGCAGGGAACAACCCCTTCCACCTCCTTCTTCATCCCCTTCAATCCCTTCCCTTCTGCTTCGTGATGGCAGCCCATATAGGGTCCAAAGGCTCACTCCTCCCTTGCCACATTTTTGTTGGCATATGGCCGGCGGCTGCTGTTTGTGAGCTGAGTATAACTTTGATTGCTTTATTATCATTGTTCCTATTCTTGTTACAGTTAAGTGTCATTATTATTACTTTAAGTTCGGTTTGCTTTAGTTATTAAATAGCCTTTATCTCAACTGACAAGTTCTTTACTTTTAATCTCCCAATTCCCTCCCCCATCCCACCAGGGAGAGGGGAGGGTGAGTGAACAAACTGTGGTGTTTTAGCTGTTTGCTGGGTTAAACCACGGCAGTTTCACAGGCTGCAGGTCATGTAGACTTACACAAAGATGACTTTTACGGTTAATTCAGTCACTACTTGTAGACTGCCTAGGTATTTACTCAGCTTCACACAATACCAAAAATACACACTGGTTTTGAAGTTCCTTTTGAAGAGATTCATGAGCTTACGTTAAAGCTCACTTCTCAGGAACTCTCCCTATTCAGGTCCTGACTCACCACGCCACTCAGTTATTCACCATCAAGTACTCAAGAAAGCATGAAGTACAGAAACACGTTCACTTTTCAGGCTGTCCCCCAGTATGAATACTAATATTCCACAGCAGGCAAGCCTATGTGCAAAAGAACATTCTACATTGTCAAAGCAAAGCAAGCCACCTCCTATGTGCAGTGCACTGAGAGGTTCAGCTGTGTGCTCTCTGCACGGTTGACTCATACTCACTGATTGCAAATCACCTTCAGTCTCACTTGGAGAAGGCCTCAGTCATTAGTGAGCTCTGTCCATTTGACTTAAAGGTGGTGCAGTATCTTCTGCACAGTTTATACTCAGAGGCACCTCTGCTTTACCTGAGATGGCATTTCCCTGCTCCTTGTCCTTCTTTACATAACTGTGTACACTTATAAGATAGTTTGCATTAAGAATGCATTTATTCCTTTACCTTCCTCACCACACATGAATTGCTAGTTTCTACGCTGTTGAGTATTTAAGTCCCTTACTCCTGATTTGATAAAGAAGTCTGAGTTCAACCGGTGAAAATAACCAGCAGTAACAGATGTTCTTTTATGAAAGAAATATGGCAACCCCAGGCCAATACTCTCTGGAAGTACAAAGGACAAAACTTTCTATATACAATATGGGACATGAAACTTAGTATACTCTACCCAATATTTTCCATGCTATGTTTACCTGGCTAGCTGTAAGAATGGATTTAAGAGACCATTTTCTTCACAAAATCTTTTCCCTCTTAAATTGTCTTTCAGGCATGAGACAAATTAAACTGGACACACTTAGTACTTTATATATATATTTGTATATTATTCTGTGGGTCATTTTCATCCTAAAACACATGCATATAATTAAATACAAAACCTTCCCAAGACATGCTAGTAGCTTACTGCTAAAAGACTTTGGTTTATTTCTGCTCCTTCCATTTTTGTCTGTCGATCTGAGTCTCTGGCATCAGCTGCCCTTTCACTGCCAGCCAAGTCAATGAATGATATCCTAGAAAACACAAAGTTGCATTTATCTTAGAGACTTTTTTTTTCCCCTTTTCCTTTTTTTTTTTCTTTTTTAAACCAGAGGGCTGCAACACATGACATCAGAAGAATGATTAGAAAAAACTACTTCTAAACACAGAGAAATACTCACTGGAAATGTCTGAGGCACCAAAATAAACATAGCAGCAGGAACAGTGTCAGAGCATGCTGGCACTAACACAATCACAATAGAAAGTGTAATTATGTGCGTTGAGAGCGCTCCACAGTTTAATGGATAAGCTGTTTAAAGTGCAACACATTCAGTTCTCAAGATAATCACTGTGTTTGTAGCTTCCTGAGAACAGTTAGAGAAATTGCAATTTTCTTGATTCTCCTTCCAGGCAAAACAGAAAACTGCCCTGTCAAATGGGAATTCAGGGCAATATGAACAAATTTTCAGTGTAGTAATACACTGAGCTTCAGTGTTCCTTGTCCCTTCCTTCCACAAAACTCCACTACTGCCTTTCATGTTCCCTAGCTCTGGGTGCCAGCTGCTGTACTGACTGTTGCCCTGTATCTTTGTTTTTGCTTTTCTTTTTCTGGAACAGCCCTGACCTCCCTTACAGATGTATCTTGGGATCTTTTCCCCACTCTAACGCCACCTTGATTTCAGTAACAAAGTAAATGGCAAACTTTCCACACCTACATAACCACATACACTTCTATTTCTAAGTCTGCCTGTTCTGCCTTTTCCTCTCACCACTATTTGTGGTTCTTCCATTTTGCCTTGTATTTAAAATAAGATCCTGGGAAGCAAGACTGCATGGTAATTGGTGAGAGGGTGCGTCAGCAGGGTTTTTTGGCACTCAGCAGTAAGATAGATACCTAGACCTCTTCCCTCAGATCTATTTCTTGGGGTTGTTTAGTTTGCAGTAAAGAAGACTGAGAAGAAGCACAATTACATTCTTCAAATACGTAAAATGGCTGCTAAAAGAGGAAGTAAACTGCTCGTTTTGTCTGCTGCAGATAGCATCAATCACACTCTCAAATTATCAGGGAGGTTTAGGTGAGGTACTATGATTCCTCTGACCAAAGGTAAACATCTCTAATGGAATAATTTCTACCTGGACTAGTCATCCTAGGCTCCCTTTGTAGTCAATTACAGGACAGAGTTACTTTGAGGGGAAAATCCATCTGACCTAATTTAGGTGACTGTGCAGAATGGCATTAATTGGATCCCAGAAATGATTATTTCTTTCTACTCACTTCAAAGGTGATGAGCTCACATATGGATATGCCCATCGCAGACATTTACCTAGATTAATACCAGAAAGGAAAAGCTTTCTAACACTGAAGATGAAGGGATGGAGTTGATTGCCAAAGTCCTCCACTGGAAATTTTTACAAACAAGTTTGACAAAGCTCTCACAGATGTGGCTTAAGCGCTCTCCCTGGGAACAGAGAAAGGGCTGTGAAACTTCTCAAAGCCTTCTTTGAACCCTGTTTTCTGATTTAACTCACAGCTGCTCACTAACTCAACATTTCCTCTTTCTTTGCCTCCTTGATGACCTTGTGCTTAAATTCCTCATCAGTGTTGAGCACTCCTTCAAGTCTTACCTTCCAGATGTCCTGTTGGCTGTGTCTTTAATTTGGATTTGGATGATGGCGTGAGATCGAGAGGAGTCTGAGTTGACTCCAGTAGCTCCCGTGCTACGTTCCCTTCCCCCCTTCAAAATTGCCTGAAAATAAAGGGGACAAAATCCAAGTAAATCATAAATAAAACCAGAGTCACTCAGAAAAAGATCTTGTCTTCCTAAAATGAGGAAACACTAGGAGGTATGGTTCATTACAGCCTTAAAATTTGGTGCAAGGCAGATGTTAAACTGGATTCCTTCCAAGGTTTCCTTCAGAACCTTGTATATGGACTTGATTGTAGTGACATTACGGAGCTTAGAGGGCGTACTTCAAGTCAGAAGTTGTTGCATTGCACATTCACTTGGATTTGCAAAATATCCGAACTATAAAATTAAAGACAATGGCAGCAATGAAAGAAAGTAAGACTGCAGATATAACCTAAGAGACTCATGAAATTGACTTTTTGTTGTCTTATTTTAAAATTTTACTCTCTCATGTAATAGATGGGTACTGTTATCCAGAAAGTTACACAGAAAATACAATGATGTGCCAAAACCTTTCTCCAACTGCATAACTGAAAGAAATTATGCCAGAGTAAGGAACAAAATTAAAAGATCAATTATACTCAATAGAACAACAACAACAGAAAAAGAAAACAAGGAAGAAAGGCGAGGCAAAAGAACAAAGGCTCCTTCAAGATACAAATCTGGATAATTCTCTTGTGGAAACTTCTAAGGACCATTGCAGAAAGTCTAGCAGCAACTGCAGCAAGGCATTCTTAAAACAGTCATTTATTTTGTTTCTGGTTGCAAGAACAAATTAAAATGTTACCTAGCAAAATCAATTATGCGTGCTTTTCAGTGGCCAGTTCTCAATCAGCAACCTCGCCAACTGCTGCAGCTATTAGTTACATTAGCGCTAAATGCAGATTTCTGAACCAAAGCCAACATCAATGAATAGTGAATAACTGAGGATGTATTCAAGACTCTTCCCAAATATCTCCTGCAGACTATTCAGAAGCTCTGAGTCAAGCCAGTGACATTTCTGCATTCAAAAGAGCCTGTGAACAATATCAAATTATTTTTTTGCTGAGATACCTGTAAGAATAGAGCCATTTAATAGCTCTTCTGTGTGCAGAATGTATAGAGGAATGTGATAATATAGAGGAATGTGTTAACCAACCATATAGCAAATTTACACTCTAATTTGCAGAAGCATTGACAGCGTGCCCCAAAGCTTGGGGTTAATGGGAAGATGAAGAACAAAATTAGAAAGAATATAGGTGGGCAACACCATGTCAATTTTAATGAGTCAATTACACTATCAGGCACTTGTAATTTACACTTCCTTACTGAGAAAGGAATTAAACTATGTGAAGTCAGGCTAAATGGAAAGCAAATTAACCAGCTTGCTTGCCACAAGACAATGCAGAAAGTTTGTCAGTGGCCTTTTAGGGCTCAGCCAGGCAGGGAATGAAAACTGAAGCCTTGCTTGTGCTGAATGTCAGCTACTGTCTAACGATGTTAATGTTACTTGGCTGTTATTATCCACCATTATCTAAGCAGTGCCTTAATCCTAATTCAGATCAATAGCTCAATCTTACATATTTTCTAATTTCTAATTCTATTAATTTTCAAATTTTTATCATTTGTCCTACATCCACATTCCTTTAATATGGAAAATTTAAGTTCATAGTACCCAGAGAAACCACACTGGGAGAAAACATATCCAGCTTTCAGTGTCCTTTGCTGGGACACCAGTTAATTTCTGGAATAGCGATAGCAGTCTATTTCTTGGCAAAGATCTTTCCATAAGGAGTGGCAGCAGAAGCAACAGCTGTAGATCAACAGCTTGCATGTCGCTAACACAAGCCACAGTGACCCAAGATTACTCAATAAAGGCACTCTTAATAGTGCTCCTTCATGCTCTGCTGCGGTTGCTAATTTCAGAACCTTAAACATGAACATACACACGTACTATGCAACAAATGACAAACACTGTAAATTACATATCTAGCAAAGCAGCTATAGAAGACAAAAAAATAATTGCAAACATAAAGATTACCTCCAACAGTAGATCTACTGAGTCCACCTGAACCTCGCGCAGTCCAACTATTTGAACAACATGCTTGCTATCTTCTCTTGCAAAAAGTCTGAGAATGAAACGGTACAGAAAGGAGATTTCTGAAATCTCATATAGCAGCAATGAAAACATATGTCAGTGCTATGACACAGTGAAAAAGCAATCAAAGCTACTGACTGGGGAGAGGCACCACTGTCATTCATTTATTTTCAGAGCTGAAGAGCTAAATATTTCATTTATAACACCTACCATTGACATTTCACTGTTAAAGAGACATTAGCGATGTATTTACACTAGGTCAGGAATATAATAAAGCAGGGAAGTAAATTATCGTGTTTACATTTTAGAGTCCCTGCCTCTCTTTATACTGCATCTCAGTCTTCTGAGGAACTTCTTCTAGGAAGCTCAGACTGTAAGTTATATTATTTTCATGTTCTCAAGATCTTTGCACAGGAATTTAAAGAACCTCCCATAGGCATACAGTCAGATTTCAGAGCCCCTCTGCTCTGAATTGCACAGAAACCTTACAGTATACAGAAATAATACAGACATGGTGCATGTGGGAAAAAGTTTAATCATCTCCTTCAATGGACGTGCAGATAATGTAAGGACACTCTGTCTTCCCTAGTAAATCAGCTCCTTACATTGCAGATTATTCTACCTGCTCCCTAAAGGCTGTTCTGGAGAAAGGGAAGACACATGCACAGAAATTAAGTGCTTCCTTTGTGAAAAGATGCTCACTTGCTCAGGCAGAAAGCCTCTCTCTTGTGTGCGCCAAGCTTTCAAGGCTGCTAAAGGCCTCCAGCTGACAGGTAACATTCCTTCAAGATCACTCTGAGAAGATTTCACTGCTGATGTCTTAACTGACTGTTATTTTATTTAGATATTTTAGACCACAGTGATTTTTTTATACCAAGTATGTACGGAGTTGTTCCGATTTCCATTTTGAATGAAGCTCCTGCAGGAGTGTACATCCATCCAAAGAAGTCTGGGGCAGAGGTGCTACTACTGAGGGTGATGGCAGCATCACCTGCAGAGGCTCACTCTGGCTGAGTCTCTGGGCTGCCAGGTAAAGGCACTCTGGGAGAAGATGAGCAATGTCAAGCATGACAAGTGGGAGATGGATGAGATCTTCAGAGACAAGAGCGCCAAGACTCAAAGCCCCAGTGGCACAGCAGGAAGGACAGCCAGAGGTTATGTTTGAGCAGGGAAAGACAGGGACTCCACAATGGTTGGCATAAGAAGTTCTGGCCACATTAAGTTTCTTTCTTTACCTATGGATGTTCAGCTATTATATTATAGTGTAAGCGAAACAGCATGAGCTTATATCTCAACCATAGGTCCCTATTCTTACTTATTTCCCTCAGCCAAAATAGTGAAAAACAGGAGCCCTTATCAATACCACAGTATTTAGTGTCAGATTCTGCTTTCCACTCTAAGTGGCTCCTAGGAACAACCCTAATTAAACAGAACATTTACAACAAATGGCAATATGTTAAATGTAATTGCATGAAAGAGTAACTGATTTATAAACTGTAACCAGCTGATTCATAACCATAGGTTTATAGTAAAATCAATTTTTATTTAAATACCTCTTCCTTCCATTTAGCAGGTCATAAAGCTGTCCACAGTAGATCTCGTAAAAACTGATATAAACAAGGAGGTCTTTCCTGGACTGTGATGCTTCCAGCTGTGTAAAGATGTCCTTGGCAGCCAGAGCGTAGAGTCCTGGATTCCGATTCGTACCCATCATAGTGTAAGTCTTGCCAGCACCAGTCTGCCCATACGCAAAGCAGGTTGCATTGCCTCTGTGAAGATAGCTTACATTTTAGGTGTCACATCTGATTGAATCTTACCTATTAAAAAAGATTTTCCAATGTTGGTATCTATCTATAGTGGCCCCATTAGCACTGAGGCTTGGTTTGCTATTCTGTCTGGGAAACTGTGAAATGCTTAACAGTGAGTCCCAAGCATGTCCTATGGAGATCTGGCATGTCACAGAGTGTTGGCTCTCTTCCTTTCTTCCAGATGCCAAAAATGCAGAAGAATTCATTATTATTCTTCCAACTGTTTAGATATTGCAGAAGTATCGTAGGATTATGAATGAGAATGCTACTGATTATGAATCACAGAGAAAAAAAAAGACAGTGACATGAGATGCAAAACAGCCACAAATCAGGTTCTGTATTAACATGTTGTACTTGATGAAAATTAACATCCCAGCACTATAATTTACTGAGTGAGGTTACTGAGTCTCAAGCTGCAACCCTGCATGCAGCGAAGTCAATCTAAAGAGTTGTTGTTGCCTAGGGGAAGGTCTTGCTCTTCCTCGTCTCTGCTCCCAGCTGTATGACCTGCCCCACTGACCCATCCCTGCCTGTGCTGGCTCTGATGTTTGACTTTAATACACTGAAATAACAGGCTTTCCACTTTCGTGAAAGTTAATTTTCTGCTGTTTCAGTAAACTAAACTACCTCACAGAAACGATCACAAAATATGCCCAAACTGGCTTCATATAACCAATGGGAATGCATTTAATGAGGGGTAAGAGGATCATCCCCCTTCAGTGATAGAGAGCTGTTTGGTTCTCTCACTCCAGCTAGTGAAACCACAGTCTTGGCTCATTCCAGATTGCTCCAAGTTTGTCATCATATCACCTTAAGATTATAATGGCAATGCACATAAAATGCCAAGGAGGTCTCAGGATATGGCTCCACTGCCCTTCAAGCCCATTTAAACTAGGTTTACTGTGTGCCTACTTCTCCTTTCCCATCCTTGCTATTATACAAGTACTGAACCCACAAGTATGATGTGAACAAATTACTTATTCCCTTCTACTACCTTAAAAAAAACCTCAACAAACCCACAGCTTTTTAGCTGGCTCAGTACCCTGGCAAAGACATGGGCTGCAGTAAGCACAGTAAACAATTTCTTGCTATCTTAGATTGAAGAATTAGCTCATCATGGTGTCAGATTAGATCAATGCCAGTGAAGGGAATTGCAGCAGGAGGGACATAAAAATTAGGATAAGCTGAGAAAAAACAGTGGCATCTTTTCTGGTGGCATTACTGGATTAGCTGTAATGTGATTCGTGCCTGCAGTAATTATTACACAGCAAGCTACAAGCCTCATTCTCCTTTTTCAATTTCCTTTTCTCAAGAGCATGATACATTCTGTCTCTGTTGATGATACTTAGAGATTTTCAGTAACAGAATGCTCAATTTTGTTAATTCTCAGCATGAATGCATAATCCTTTCCTTCAAAGACTCAAAAATGTAATTATATTCAAGCTTGTTACTTTGTGTGAAAATAAGATCACTCATGTAAAGTCATCATGAATTTTCCATTAATCGGGAAGTATGTAATTATGATTAAAGCTCTAAGCAAATATAAATTAATAAGATAAAATCACAAGATTGTTAATAAATTCTATTGCCCTCTGATCTGTACAAATACATGCAAAAATATCTCACAGCAGTCTTACGAAAGAGGTAATATTATTCCTCTACAGATGTGCTATAGCACACAGAAGCTGTTGCTAGAGTGGAGATTAGACTTCAGAAATCCTGGCACACATTTTTTCATTCTAGGCTGGCCATGGTGTCTCTGTTGCACCTGAGCTCCAATTTTAAATTCCTCTGTGATTTACATTTCTCACCAAATGTGAAAAAGGTTTTCCCTGATTTCTTTTGTCAAAATTGCAATCAAAGACATTCTAAAAGGGGGCTGGCATGTGGCAAAGGTGAAATGAATGCATTTTTCAAAAGACGAAAAGCAGAAAGGAAAATTCAAGCAGTACATGAAATTGGAAATCAACAAAGCAAAAAATAACAAATGTAAGCTCTGATGCCGTACCCGTTAAAAATATGCTGAATGAGAGGATGAGCCGTCTTCATATATACATCCTGATTGGTACATGACTCCCCAAAGACTTCATCAAAATAAAAAACATGCTGAAAAATAAATATGGTCTTTACATGAAAATGAATATGTTTCATTTCCCCTTCACCCCCATTCAAAGGTAATGTTAAATAACAGAAGTATTGCCAGTGACTTCCGATGGCTTTGGGTCAGGTACGAAGTGATCCAGCACATTTACCATGCAGCATGACATATGCAGGAAACACATCACTACGACTAATCAAGAGACTGAGGGTAGGGGAGAAAAAAAGGGAAGCAAAGATGCTTCCCATCTTTGAATGGAAAAATAATCTTTGATAGGAAAATGATTTCCCATCATTCTGAAGCAGATCATATGCCTTCTGACAAGAAATGAAAAAGATAAATGCTAATTAAAGAAAACTTACTCTTGAAATGAATCGGTCTAAGTAAGACTGTAACAGTAAAAAGAACTCAAAGTCAACTCTTGATTCTCTCAAAATTAGTCCTCAGTTGTGATTAATTTTCTCTGTTCTACAGACTTAAAAAATTTTTGTGCCAGAGAAAACAGAAGCTATTCCCAAGCAAAGCTGGATTGTGTTATCTCAGAAGGGGGCAAGAAAACTCCAAACTTGCCACACTCCAGATCTGACCCAAAGCAGCAGGGCTCTGGAAACACTGCAGCAGAGTTCATTATGGGTTCCTTCTAGGTTAAAAATAGTGTTCGCAGGGACAGTCATGAACATCACATTTTCAAAAAACCCTCCATGGACAGGTGTCTAACTTTGCACTAATAAATATAGTGCAGTGTAAATTAAGGTGGTAGATCTCTAGGCCTGAAAATCATTTCAGTGATGCACAAACAAGCCACACCAGTGCACAAGACAGATTAAACCAGGAAGTCTCAGCAGCGACACTCAGCTCAGAGGGCAGATATGCTGTGATGGGCCTGCAGTTTGGGTCCCTCGGCTGTGGAGCTGGAATTATGCCCTATCACCTCCCATTTGCTCTGTACCCCTTGCTGTCCTTTCTGTAGGCACCGGAGATGGGGGTAGAGCTAATAGCCAGACTTGGAAGAAGAGTTCTCCTGGGCCCTACAGAATAGACACAGCCTTTGCCATGACTTTTGTTTGGACTACATTGATTGATAATAAGATTTCATTTGTCTGTATTGATATGACAAAATTAACTAGTGGTTATTTCAGCACTGAGATAATAAGGTGATAGGCACCACATAAATGCCAAATGTAGGTATTCAGATGGAGGGAGTGGGGTGGAGTTGCTGCATGTTTCACACCATAAAAGGTGGTACATGAACTGGGTCTGAGAGAGCTACAAACTGAATTTTTACTGGATACTCCAAACAGTTGTTCCTAGGACCAAGACTGTAAAAATAACACCCAGTCAAGTGAGGATGGCTTGCTGCTCTCTAGAAATCAGTTCTGTTTCTGGTGCTGTCAGTCAAAATTGAGAATTTGAACTATGACAGCACAAGGTATTTTGGATTAAGAAACAAAGACCAAAAGAGAACTTAATTTTCCAAGGCATTTGAGAACAAAGGAAGGGAGGGAATAAGGGTGTATGTGATTCATTGAAACAGACCTACAGTGCTGAAATAGTGAAAAGGGAACTCCTCATTGAAGTACCGTGGAAAGCTATCAGGAGACTCTGCGGCAGGCAATTCTCCTACAGCAATGGCATGTAGCAGGGGGCTTTATTTTGCCACATGCAAAGCAAGCTGCAAGAGATATACTTTTGAGGCTTAAAATTCTGGGCTCAGATTTTCTGCCACAGGCTGGCATAAGTCAGGAGCAATTCAAATACAGTTAATGCTGAGCTCACAGAAGAGCACACCACCTATTTCCATGTGAGAAATGCAGATAGTCCTTTTCTGTTTCCCCTCATAGAAACTCCAAGGACAATTTGCTTTATCCCATTCATGCAAGTGACTGGCACTTAAAACACAACATTCAAGCAGAGCACGTTACCTGTAAAATATATTGGGTGAGATCAACTGCCTCCTTCTTCTCATGAAGAAGTAGAGTTTCCTTATCTTTCATTGTGATGTTATCAACCTCCCCACGTCGCTTCTCTCTCAGGCCTAGAGGACGCTTTCGAACACACACTCTGATTTTTTCAATCTCTGTCCATGGAGTCTCTTTTTCAGAAGTACTGGATCTACAACAATAGTGTATGTTAACAGTTTAAAATCAGGTTACAAAAGAATCTAGAACCTGCCTAAAATTTTAGGTTTATCAGACAAATGTTTGACTTTAGCTGCTTATGAAAAGAACCACAAAACATGTCTGTTACACAGTGAATTTTCTGCTGTTTCTTCCTAAATGGACTGATGCCTTTTGTACACTGCTGCTAAAAGAATAGTTGTGTTTATGCAGCTGCATTCCTGAACTGGTTGCCGGACTTGCATATTTTCAGTTGTCCACAAGTATGTGATTGAAGCTGGCATAATATGCAAGTTAACTTAATGAAATTTAATCTTGCTGAAATTATTTGCTATCATGACTAGTTACTTGATAATGCAGATAGAAGCATGAACAGATCTTGAAAAGGAGAGGGTATATTTAGTTGCTTTTCTTCTTATAATGACTTTCATCCTTTTTATAGTGTGTCATATAAGTTACAAGTAAATGACTTAAACTGGGAAACACGACAGTATCACCATGTTCCTATTCAGCTCAAAGAATATTTGAACTCGTCATTGTCTCCCTTTTGGTCTGTTTTCACAAAAAATTATGTGGTTGCAGATCACAGGCAAAGTTGTGCTTTTGTGTTTTGGCAAGTCTATCTTAGTTCACTTTCAGACACCTCAGAAACATGTTATTTCATGTTTCATTGATTAACCTGCTCTGTAAAGCATTTTGTGATGCAGCATACAGAACACGCTTGAATTAAATCAAAAGGTATTAATTCTCCCTTTCCCTTCTTCAAGCTGTCTTCAGCCAAATGAATACTGATTTTCAGCCTGGATTTGAAAGTCAGCTTGTGAGAAAAAAAATAATTTTAATCAAGCCCCTGCTTGCCCAAAAGTAGTTTCTACCATGCTGTCCAAATGCCCTTCCAAGATCTCTTAATGTAGCAACTGAAAACAGTTGCTACAGTATCAGTTGTCTAATAAATCAAAACCAAACCCACAAGTGACTCAATATCTCATTAAAACTACAAAAATGTAATATCACGGCTGTCATGCTGCATGATTCCCCAGGAACATACGGCATGCAGTTATAAATTGCAAGATAAGGTCTGCGAAGACAACACACAAGAAATCTTTACTGGAGCCCCTTTAATCTCAGTGCAGCTTTTCCATGCAGTTCAGGATCAGTCCTTGCATTTAGATGGAAAATTCTTTCCTCTGAAAAGAAAGGCAATGGTACTTGAAATAAGATGCTTCATAAGCTAGTGTAAGCTTATGGATATCACTAGGCACCATATGTTGTCCAACAAATGATCAGAGGAACTGAAGTTTAATTCTCGTGTCAGAGGCTAGATTTGGTGACCTACTGAAAGAGCTCTAAGAGCTTGAAGGAGGAAGTACTGGAGACTTGGAGAAAGGAAAGACTGAATACTTGGAGGCTCTGTTTATAAGAGAAAAAGCATAAATTCTTTCTACTACAGAGGCACATTTAGTTGAATAAATTTTGAATGGAAACATAATGCGTTTTAATTCTATATGCTGAACCGGAAGTTTAGATTTTCTATGAACCTTTCTTAAACAGAAATTGTATTTTATTAAAACAAATATTTTTTATTACTAGAAAAAACAAAATCTTGACACAGATCATTAGAAACCTTATTAGGCAATAGGTCAGAAGAATCACTGTGCTTGCTCTGCTACTGTCAAAATCAAGCCATTTGCTGTGGGCAAGTGCAAAATATATTTAAGCATATAAAAAGAGCTCTTTATCTATCTGCCACCTGAAATCACACAGAACCTCAGCATGATGGGGTTGGAAGGGACCTCTGAAGATCATCCAGTCCAACCCCCCTGCCAGAGCAGGATCACCTAGACCAAGTCACACAGGAACGTGCTCAGGCGGGTTTTGAATGTCTCCAGATAAGGAGACTCCACAACATCACAGAGTAGCCTGGTCCAGTGCTCTGGTACTCTCACAGTGAAGAAGTGTTCCCTTATGTTTAAGTTGAATCTCCTATGTTCAGTTTGTGACCATTGCCCCTTGTCCTGTCACTGGGCACAACTGAAAAGAGTCTGGTGCAATCCTCCTGACACCTGCCCTTTAGATATTTATAAACATTAATGAGATTCCCCCCCTCAGTCTTCTCCAGGCTAAGCAAACCCAGCCAGCCCCATCTTCCATGTTCTATAAACTCCCTTCTTCCACTTGTGTTTATTCAGTAGCTCCCTGATCAGCCATGCAGGTCTCCTGGCTCCTTACTAGATTTCCCACTCATTGGGATGCTCCTATCTTGAGCTTGGAGGAAATGGCACTTGAATATTAACCAACTTTCTTGGACCACCCTACCTTCTAGTGCCCTAACCCATGAGATTTCTCCAAGTAGTTCCTTGAAGAGGACAAATTTAGCCCTTCTGAAGTCCAGAGTTGTGATCCTGCTTATTGCTCTGTGCCTACCGCTCTTGATCCTGAACCCCACTATTTCATGGCTGCTACCACACAGCCCGTCCCCCCCCCAACCTTCACATCCTCAACCAGTCCCTTCTTGTTTGTCAGTACAAGGCCCAGCAGCAAACCTCTCCTTGTTGGTTCCTCCACCACCTGTGTCAAGAAGTTATCATCAATGCACTGCAGTACATCCTGGATTGAGGGTGCCTGGCTGTGTGGCCGTTCCAGCAAATGTCAGGGCAATTGAAGACGCCCATGAGAACCAGAGCCTGTGAGCCTGTGATGGTGAGGGTACTTCCAGCTGCCTGTAGAAGGCCTCATCAACTTCCTCATCCTGATCAGGAGGCCTGTAATACACAGCCAGGACAGTGTTTCCCATATTACCCTACCCCTGACAGTGTTTTCCAATGTTTCTCATAGATGAGTCTAGATTAGCCTTCGATAAGAGAATAACAAGGAAAGAAAGTGAGAGCAATGGAGAAAATGGCTCTATTGCAGGATTAAAAATCTTGAACTCCTCTAGCTGAGCCATTAGGTTACATTTTGTCATTTTCTTACTTGCTAGCACTATGAATTCTGCTCTTTTAGTGGCACCTTGGCTCAACTTCTAGAGGAGACAGAGAATGCACTAACATGCTAATATTTGCAGGAGGTTAGTGCACTTATCTGGAAGGTGGGAATGATTTTTTTTCCAGCAAAGAGGAGTTAGAAACCTCTGTCTTGCATTTTACAGTTTAAGTGCTCTAACTGCTATGTCACCTTAGTACTTCTCCACTGTGGCAACAGCATCTATCCCTCCAGCATACATACATGCTCAATGGAAGTTCTAACTGACACTCTGACTCCGTGGATCCTCCCATATGCCAAATATTTCCCCACAGCCTTCCCAGACCAAGCCCCAGCCTCCTACAGCTACATCTCTTCACTGCAATTTAAAAGAAAACTGCCTTAACTGCACTGCAATGAGATAGATGCTGGTAGAATGTGTTCAGAGAGGTATGTGCTTTGCTGCTGAATCAGGAAAAAAATTTGTGCTTTAAAAATGCTGCCAGGGTAGATTTACCAGTGGTTCAGGATAATCAAAGACCCTCTGTTACCAAACACCGGGAAAAGTATGAAAGTAACAGATCATGTGTTTGGAGAGCAGCTGTAAGGAATCCCTCTCACCACCACTTCTATATCCTATCCCAGTTATATTAATTCTGTTTCTTTTTAAAGCTCTAGTTCAGAACATTCTTTATAAACAAATACAGCCATCACAGTGTGTACCCTTTTTACTGGGAAAACTTGACAAACTTATCAACAGACAATTCTGTATTTTGGAAAAATATTTTGCAAGATAGTTGCAAGGAAAGAAAGAGAGAAAGAAAGATTGATCAAAACACCAAGAAAACAAAGCCTCATATCCTGAAAGACTATAAAAAATATTCTTAGGCAAACTTAGTGAGTAGCAGCTGGTGAAATTCAGCTGATTCCTTCCACCAGACTTGGAGAGTTGCAAGTGCTTATTAATATCTCTTCTCCGTAAGAGTTTGCATTATACTGTAGTGGTAGGATTGCTTAATTGAAGGTGACTCTCCTCCACAAGGAAGAAAGAGTTCATTATGATTAATGGGAAATACAGCAAAATAAAGGTGACTGATTATTACCTGATACAGCAATGAGGTAGTCCATAATTATACCCTGAAATATGAGTTATTCTTTGTACGATAGGAGCTTCCGAATCCCCCAGGAGAGGAGCAATATCGTCAGAAACTGCTGGACAGCTCAGGTCTTTTTTAGTGCATATTGCAGGAGTATTTAGGTCTTTTCTAGTTAATCTGATCAGCTCTGAATCTTGTGGTTGAATGTGTCCCAAGATTTCCCCTGCACTGTTCTTCTCTCCATTGGCATCGAAATCAGATGAACCATATGATTCAGATTCAGAGTCTTCAGCTGTTCCATCATTTTCTTCAAAGAAGGACTCAAACTGCAGCTGTCTACGGGGACCTGAACTGGTCACCTCAGGCTGAATTAAAAGGCCACTTGGTTGAAAATCTTGCTTGCTTAAGTCTGTAATGTCTTCCTCTTGCATAATTTTGATTATTCTAATGAGATGAAAGAGTCGTTTGCGGTCATTCATGTCATGGACTCCCAGTTTGGTGTAATCTTTCATGGAGACTTTGGCAAGCTCATCAATCTTCTGAAGACCGAAGGCAGCAAAATGGGGATAGTATTTTTCAAGTTCTGCCTCACAAAGGAATTCATAAAGGCATGATGCCATCTTCAAGCTAAAGTCTACAAGAAATCAAACAAAATAAATATTAGGATCAGATGAAACATCAAATTTGACAAAGTTACTAATGAAGAAACTACACATTTCCTGATGCTATCAACTGCAGTTAGGCCAGAAACTTGTTTAACTCCAAGTTCACCATGAACTAGACTTGCACTAGGCTGCCAGAATATAGCAATAACAACAATAAAGTAAATATTAAAGAAATATTTTATCTATGAAGCTGTATTCTAAATTATAGAGAATACACAATAATGTGTAAGAAATGCACAATGCAATGTTACTTACTGCTGCAGAGTTCCTACACACCCAATGTCTACTTGATGAATGCCACAGCTACTGAAACCCTGTCAAGCTGCAGAATGTAAAATGCCTAATTTTAGACACTCAATTTAATATCAGGGCATGTGGTCTAATGTGGTTCAGCTACTCCTGATGAACTAACCAAAGGAGAAGAAATTGCAGTTGTCCTCACCTCAAGCTGAATAATTAAGACCATTCATCTCATAGATGAACTAAGCAAAGTTGTAGTTTTGTAAAACTTTATCTTGTATGTCATGAATCTTGTGAGCATTTCTAAGTGCTCTTGAGAGAATAACCAAAACATTCTATGAAATCTGAAACACAGAATTTCTCTAAATCTATATATGCTACTGGAACACCATACTTGCATTCTCAGGAAACCAAAAAAAGCAACATGCATCATCGAAAGGTATGCCAAAAAACCCTTAACTTCTTCACTCATGTCTTCCTAGCAATGCATTATGCAGCTGTCTGTATCCAGATGGATTAAGATCTGCAGATATTTTTACTTGTTCCATAAAATGGAAAAGTGATAGCACTTCAAGTATCTGTTGCCCACTGCCTTCTTATATCTTTGTTCTAAGTCTAAGACCTTAGCAAATACAGCTCTTACTCATGTTTGGAGGTTACAGTAACCTTCAACAAAATCAAGCTATTTAAGACTAGGTTTTTCCTCCTGTAACTCAGGGTAAGTTCTTTGATAGGATTTTCAAGCATCTCTACAATAGCATTATATAAGAAAATAAGGTCACCAAATATCACCTTTAAATTTTACTCTATATAATAATTAATACATTATGTTGAAATAATAATAACAACAAAACAATAAATATTATATTAAAGTGCTGAGTATATATTACAGAGGCCAAAAGGTACAGTAGAGAACATCTAAAATTATTTAGAAACTAGAATCCAAGCTGTAGATAGTAGCTAGCCATAATAAAATTATGAGATTCAGCAGTAACAAGTTTCAAGACAAAAACATTGGTATGTAGGTGGACTTATTTGATGTGTATGTAATGCAATTCTGAATACTGGGGTAGTCAGAGCCACTGCTGACATTGCTAGGTCCTGAAAGGGAGAAATAAAGGAGAAATAAAGGGAGAAATAAAAATTGACAGAGAGGATAGCAAACCCAAAGATCAGAGGGGCTAACTATGACACATGTGCAAGAGTTTTCACAAGCATTCACAATTTGGCAACTTCTTTAAGAGATAAAGTTCACAGGAACTTTAGACTTCATTTAAAGAAGAGTTATGTTTTTTTAAAAAACGCCTATCTTGCATAAGGCAGCTTAAAATATATAACCAATCAGGTCCTTTGTAACTGTCTGTATGCACTTCCATGGGAAACTTATTTTGTTTGATGAAACGAGCAGCTAGAACACAAAGCCAAGACATCAGTCTCAAAGTACCATGAATACGTTAAGGGTTAAAACAATCCAGTGAATTTCTTTTGTCTATTCTCACTCTGTATTCTAGATTATATCTACATTGTTATAAATGCTTAAGTTAAATACAGAGTGGCCCAAGATCAGTGCAAGAACTAATGTGGTGTTAACCTCTATTTGAATTATGATGTTGAACACAGAAGAGGGAAGAGAGGATAAAAAAAGAAAAAAACACCACACAAGAACCAAGAGTAGCAGGCAAGGGGAGAGAATAAAGAATTTTAAGGTCAAGGTTTTAATTAAAAATTAAACTAAATATATTTAAATAGCAAAAAATTACTGTACAGACAGGTTTCCACTATCTGGGGTAACAAGAGACTAGGATTCTCAAAATACAGAAAATTTAAGTAATACAGGTACTGCAAAACATATGAGAAGGTTAGTACTGAGACATGTAAGCAGCTCTGCACGGCTTACTGGCTAAGACTTTGTGCCATCTGAAAGCCACTAAATGGCTTCTTAATGAGATCTGGACCGGGAAGTAATGTAACTGCTTCTGCTCCCCCAGATATAATAAATCTGACTGGATCTAAGTAGCTTCAGGAGATAACTCTTGTGTCTCTTCATCCATGGCAATTCCACAGCCTAAGAAAACCTGACATTGACTAATAAGGGATTAGCAAATAAATTAACTGTGGGAAAAAATAAAGCAATTGTCATGGTGATGGGTTCTATTATTTCTGATTACTTTAAAACTAAAGAGTAGACAATTTTCTAAAAGATTTCATCTGGTGCATACATGAGAGAATTCAGTTGTCAGTGAAATCCTTCTGGGCTTTTGATTGGAGATGCTCTGTAAGAAAGGAGCATCTTTCTCCTCATGAAACAATATTTGAAATCACTCAACACTGTAGAGTTCTTTGTGTTTGAAGACACTGTTTCTAAAAGATACATAATTCTTCAAAATAAATCTGCTTTGTAAAGAAATAAGAGAAGTATTGGTAGGTTTTCAAGAACCTTAAATTGTTAGTGATAATGCCATCTCCTGGCAAAAAAAGGAGAAGACTTTGGCTTTTACAGTAAAACTCAGCCAGCATTCCCCTAGTTATTGTCAGGATCTAGGGGGTTTTTTTGTTCACCTGTGAGACCATTGTGTTCTGGGGCAGAAAGATGTAACATTATTCACTGTGGTAGTTTCATATCAAAACCCAAGTCTTTTTCCCTGCAAAGCCACGCATAGATTCACTGAAATCAGAATTGAGACAAAAGCCTAAGACTTCTTAAAATATTTGGATATAACATATTTTGAGAAAGAAGTGAGTCAGTATGGACTCCATGAGCACCCAGTTATAAAGTCGGATAGTCCCAGGCCTGACTTTTCACTCAGTCTCTATTACAACATCGTCTGTAATTGTTCACTGTTCAGTGATTGTCCTTCTTCTTGTAGTTGGCAGAAAGACTCGTCTTCATGTTGAAATTTTCACCTTCTTCTCACACAGGTGACCTGCTTTGCCACCAACAAAACGATGCTGAAGCTGGTCAGTGAAACACTGAAGTCAATTAAGTCCAGGGCATCTTTCCTTATGAGGAGAAACAGTTAATGTTGACGTATCATACTGCTGGAACATGTGAGATGGCTAAACAGGGGACCAGTCAGCCTGTCACCTTTATGTGGTAAACCTGAGTTCCCTACAATTTATTTCTTATGCAAAGAAGTTTCACAAACTTCTACAAACCAGATGCTGGTAATGGATAAGTACTTATTGTAAAAAGGCATTAGAATTTTCTATAAAGTGACCAACTCAAAGCACAGAATAAGATCAGAGCTTGTCATCTGGTAAGTTCTTCTCCGTTTCAGTAATAGAGGTTTTTTTAAAGGACATAGAGTTGGAAGAAGACAAGTCAAGCGTAAATAGCACAAACAAGTGGTTACCTTTTACATATTATGAAGGAAATCAACTTGCCACAAAATTATGCTCTAGGAGCTGATCCTCCATTCTAAAATGCTTTTAATTATTAATTAGTTCTTACACAGATCTTTTCATTCTCAATGCACTTTTCAAGGTGGAGAAAAGGCTGACCTTCAGATACACTCAGTGTCAGTCACTGTGCATAAAATAAATCACGTAAAATCCCTACGTAGACTATTTTAAGAATAAAGCAGCCTTAGACCACTATATCTTGATCCTTATTAACCCCTGATATATTAAAGATCGCAGTGCACCATTCTCTTGAGTAACACTCACATGCCTTGTTATCCCACTGTAGCTCATTCATATTTTAACTGACGTCCACTGATACTCCTGGATGTCATCACCAAGACATGACACAAGTATCACTATATCTATATTTTAAACTAGGGAAATTAAGTCATAGCAAAGTGAAGAAATCTTATGTGGCACTCCTACACATACAAACTAATGCAACTATACATTTAATCCTGCAAATAATCTGATGTAATAATTCTGATTCATAAACTCTGCTCTGATCATTAAATAATTTCATTAGGCACAAACTTCAAGGGCATCTGATAAATGTAGTGATTGTTAATCAGTGTACAAAACCTAAACAGCACCTTGTTTCCCTTCCTATTACTTTGTATTACGTAAATAATTTTGCTTCACAAATACCTTATAAAACCAAGAGTTTTAAACAAAAGTAACAAGTAGGTATGTTTCCTCTCCTGCCCAGAACTATAGCAGTGTATTCTTCATATTCTTCTCCTTACTTACAACAAAGTTACCACAAGTCTTCAACACAGACACCATCCATGCCACATCTGGCAATCATGCAACAGAGAAAAGGGAGACTTATTAACTCACATCACCACCTATCTATCTTTGTTTCTTACTCATTTGAACATTAAGCCATTTTTTAACTGTGATCCAAAGCTAGGTCTCCTCCAGAAGTGAATGGCTAATTTACTTATTTACATAAAATGCTTTACCTAAATCTTTCTAACACCATTCCTTGAAAACCAGGGTATTTCTGTGAAGAAAGGGGTCAGGGTGCAGTTGCATTTTTATAAACACAAGCTCCATAAGAAGAGATAATCTGTACTGTAACAAGAGTTCATAATCTTAGTTTCATGTAGTAGGTAGGGATCTATGAAAGTGTTTGACATTGCAGCAAATTTCTTTGTAAGATCATAGAATTATGCTATGCAACTCTCCATGCACGTACACAACATGGTATGAAATATTCTGTTGCGTATTGAAGCAAGTGCTGTAGCAGCCTGTTTTGAAGATGCGAGGAACAAAACTGAATACTAGCAATAGATAACCATCTATAGTTT